TCCTCCTCCTCCTCCTCCTCCTCCTCCTCCTCCTCCTCTTCTTTCTTCTCTTCCGCCTTCTACTCCTTCTTCTTTCTCTCTCCATCTTTCTTTCTCCCTCCCTCTCTCCCTCTCTCATCAGACCATCTTATTATATTCTTCATGTCTCTTAACTTCTCATCCATATTTTCCATCTTACCTCCTCTCTGTGCTACGATCTGGATAATTTCCTTTGACCTGTCTCTGGTTAACTAATCATCACTTTGTCTGTGTCCAATCTGCTACCAAATACACCCACCAAAATTTTAATTTCAGGTCTTGAGGTTTTCCTCCCTAGAAATTCTATTTGCTTCTCATTCAGGTCTGCTAGGTTATTTTCTATGGATTCCTGTTTTTACATACATTTTCAATATTGTCTTTTATTTACATAAATGTGTAATCAAAGGGAATTCTGATACAAGCTATAACATAGATGAGCTTTGAGTAAATTACACTAAGTAAAATAAGCCAGAAACAAAAAGATAGATACTGTATCATTCCACTTTACTACTCTGAACATATATCATCCAAGTATATTATGTATTATATCCAGAATAGTAAAATTCATAGGAAAAAAAAGTAGATGGGGTGCCTGGCTGGCTCAGTTGGGAGAGCATGCAACTCTAAATCTCAGAGTCATGAGTTCAAGTCCCTCATTGGGCATAGAGCCTACTGAAAAAAAAAATTGTAGAATGATGCTCATCAGAGGTTGTGGGGGAGGGGAAATAGTTGTTTAATGGGCATCCAGTTTCAGTTTTGTAGGATGAAAAAGTTCTAGAGAATGGCTGCATAACAATGTGAATATAGTTAACATTGAACTGTACGCTTTAAAAATGGTTAAGTTGGTGAGGCACTTGGCAGGTTCTGTTGGAAGAGCATGCAACTCTTGGTCATGAGTTTGGGCCCCACATTGGGTGTGGAGATTACTAAAATAAATAAACTTTAAAAAATGATTAAGGTGGTACATTTTATGTGTACTTTACACATTAAAAATACAATATAAATAAAATAAAATTTAAGAAAATAAAAGTTTTAATGCAAAAAATGTAGTAACTATAATTGTTTCATAAGTTGATATTTTTTGCAGTTCTGTTTCTGCTGTTATTTCTGCTGGTTCTCACTTGCAGTGCCTTGTTCCTTGCATGCTGGGTTCTTTTTTACTGTGTGGTACCCATCGTCTATGCAGTGATTAACTGCTGGAGATTCTTTGAGGACCAACACAAAGATGCATTCCTCCAGAGAAGATGTGAATTTGCTGCTACCAGGAACTTAAGAGAATTCCAGTTCAGGACTACTTTATTTTATTTATTTTTTAATGTTTATTTATTTTTGAGAGAGAGACACATACACACAGAGTGCAAGCAGGGGAGGGGCAGAGAGAGAGGGAGACACAGAATCTGAAGCAGGTTCCAGGCTCTGAGCTGTCAGCACAGAGCCCGATGTGGGGCTCTAACCCACGAACTGCAAGATCATGACCTGAGCTGAAGTCCGACACTTAGCTGACTGAGCCACCCAAGCGCCCCTCAGGACTGCTTTAAACTAGACTCCTGGTAAATGAAAAGCTTTTTTGAATACTTCATAAAATTTGCTACAAATCCACAAAAAGATTAGCTATGGTTACAATGTCTCAAGGGGAGTTTTCTCCCCTTTTGTGCAGTGTAGTACTAAGTTATCTTCCTTGGAGCTCTTGAGAGAAAGATGTGGGGTCAGGTTTACTTCTGATTCACATTTAATCATAGCCCTCTGGGGAAGGGGCATGACAAATACAAGGAAGGCTTTCTAATAGACTCCCCACCTTGGTGGATCCTGAGCTTTGATTTCATTCACCCTTAGCCTACAGCACATAACGTAATTCACATTTGCTCAGACTGGTAAATACCCTCAGAGCAAAATCGACTTCCATGCTTTCTTACCTCTCCCATAGACTGTCTTCCCACCTCCTACTTTGTCAGCTCTTCTGTGCTTTTAAGAATATTTTAAAACTACGGTGTCTAGCATTTTTTAGTTGCTTTAAGCAGCAAGTTGGCCCCGACAACCTAACCAATCAGAGATCCCTCTATCTTTATTTCCTTTTCACTGATTTCTGCTCTTCTGTTTATTTTCTTCCTCCTATTTTTTTGTTGTTCTTATTATTGGGGTTTTTTTCCCCTTAAGTTTTTTAGTTGAACACCCAGCTCATCGTTGCTTTTTCTTTTCTATTGTTAGGCAATCCTCTCCTGAAGGCTCCAAATTTCCCTTTCTTGTGTATTCTTTTATTTTATTTTATTTTATTTTTTAAATATGAACTTTATTGTCAAATTGGTTTCCATACAACACCCAGT